GGGGTAAGAGCGGCGGGGTTTGAGCTCCCCCCAGGCTCCTCGCCAGGGGGAAAAGCCATGTGCTTTACCGGCCCTGATGCTAGGTAACTCCGGGAGGGGAGGAGTCCAGGTCCAGGTTGCCATGACCACTCCACGGGAGTGACAAGCTGTCAAGTCTTCACTGGCTGGCTACGACCACAGGAGCCATGTCAAGACTTTGTAATTGCCTGGCAGAGAAATGTAAATGACCACTAACCATGTGGCATGCGGAGCTCAGTGCAAAACCCACCTCTTCCTCCCACACTTCCTCATTAGATCACAGTCACTCCTCCTCTTGAGATGCTCAGATCCCAAAATGATTCTGGGGAGAAGGCCCGACAAAAGAGAAGCCGGCTTCTCTCCTGAGCATGTCTCATCTTTCATATCTGTGGGAGAAAGTGCTCGCTCCCTCAATCTCTTCCCCCATCCCAGCACCGATGGGTGGTAGGTCCACTGATTGGCAGTACTGTGGCATGGGCCAGTTGGCCACCACTGTAGTGTGCTCTGGTGTTCATGCAATAAACGCAACCTGTCTTGGTTTAAAGCTGCGTTGTGCAAGTTGTCCCGAGTAACTTCCTTGTTGTTTGTATCCTAATAGTAATCGAGCTCCCCTCCCCCCATGGACCAGGACTCTGTTGTGGCAGGTGCTGTACAAACACCACTGCAAAGTCTGGCAGAGATGGTCGCTTTCTTGGTAACTCTGCACAGCTGTTCGTAGAACTACATTTCAAAAGGCAGCCTGGACCCGGAAGAGCTTCTAGTCTGTGTTACTCTGAGATGTAGCTTCGTGTCCCAGAGGAGGATGTGGGAAATTAAGACTCCCAAAAAAGGATGAGTTTCTGGTCACATTCACAACCTGACCAGATTCTGGAATGGAGCTACCTCTCCAGAGAGCATCAGGAATATAAATAAGCCCATTGCTGAGTTCTCTTGCATGGATAAGGAGAGTGAGGCAGTGGAACAGGTTACCCAGGGAGGTTGTGGAATCTCCTAAAAACCTCCAGTGATGAACAGGTTGGACAAACGCCTGTTGGGGTGATCTAGGTTTACTTGGTCCTGTCTCAGTACAGGGGGCTGGACTGGATAATCTTTTGAGGTCTCTTCCAGCCCTACGTTTCTATGAGGACTGGGGTGCATGTTATTGTCCCATGCAGCTTGTGAGCCAGCACATGGTCTAGCAGGACTGTAGTTAAAACTATGGGGCACAGGCCTGCAGGGGACATGAACAGAAGTTGGGTACAGGGAACAGTGACCCAATTAAAGCAATTTGAGCTGTGGGCACGCAAACCACTAATAGAACTGCAGAGAGCCCCACAATGCCATGATGATGCAGAACCCCCAGGCACTGATGCAGCATCTGATACACCAGCCTTTCATCCGAGGCAGCGTGGCCAGAGCACTGGACTGGGACTTAGGAGACCTGGATTCAATTCCCAGCTCTGCCAATGACCTGCTGGGTGACCTTAGCAAGTCACTACCCCGCTCGGTGCCTCAGTTTCCCCCTGTACAAAGCAGGACCGGGAAAGGATACTATTTTAAAGTGCTTTGAGATCTACTGATCTATATAGGTGTTATCACTTCCTTGGCTGTTGGGAGGAAGAGACTCTTTCCTTGCTGCTGTAAGGTGGGACTGGGCAAAGACCATTCCTTTCCTCCCCCATCTATGGGCAGGGAGTGATTTGGCAATGAAACTCCCAGGTAGAACAAGGAGCACCCTGCCCCACAGAGATGCACACAGACTCGGGCAACTGCTGCTCTGAAGGAAACCTCACCTTAATTGCTTCCTGCTCATCACGTATCATCTGTAAAGGGGAAGCGGCTTCCTGGCAGAGTTCAGATACGGAATTAACCCAGACATCACAGCTGGTCAGAATTCAGCATTGTGGAAAAACCTGAAACTGTTCTCGGTTTCAAATTTAAAAAGAAATTCTTCCAAGGGGGAGACGTGCAAGTCTTACTGTTTCTCTTTTTCCCTGGTCCTTCCAGGGGGTGGGGAAGGGAAGGAAAATTGGTGAGGAGGGAGGGGAGAAACAAGGGCTAACATTTTTGATTTGAAAACAAATCTGCATTTTTGTCCAAAGCCATTTCCCGTCAATGCTGGCATCCTTCCTCCCTCTAAAAGTCCCCGACCTTTAACTGAGACTGCATCTGGCAGCTACATTGACCCCCTTGCGTAAAGCCAGACATCTCAAGGGCAAAGCCTTCTCCACTGAAAGACCGTGCGCTGCACTGGCACTGCTGGCATCTCGGGGTGTAAAACTCCCCAGCCTGACTTGGCTCTTGGACTCCCTTCCCCCCCCCTCCCCTGCAGGTGTCCCCGTGATGAGACCGTGATGTACATCAATGGCATCGGAAACAGCACCGTGGCAAAGTTCAGCTTCCAGATGTTCCAATTCATCAACTACTCGGAGGTGTTCCTGCACTGCCGAGTCCGCCTGTGCCTCCCCGATGGCCCCGAGCCCTGTGCAAAGGTGAGGTCCCCTCTGCCCTGCGCTGCGAGCGGGACTTGTTGGAGTCTTCTCCTCTGAGCTGCCTTAGTTGTGGCTGAGGGCTCTGCTCTGACCCTACACTGGATTCAGCTAAGGGCTGGCTACAGGCCTCTCCCTGTGGAACTGTCACTGAACAATAAGGACCCATTGGACCTGCTCTCTAAGACTTGCCTCCCTTGTGGGACCTGCGCATGAGAGCACTTCTGCAGCGTGACAATGTGAAGCCCCATTAAGGGCCCTTATCGCTGTCTGTTGTTTATCTGCATTACTACTGTGCCTAGCAGCTCTAGTCACAGGCCAGGACCCCACCGTGCTAGGCAGGGTACAAACGCAGACCAAAGAGACTGGCCCTGTCCCCAAAGAGCTGACAATCTGCGCTGGGTCTCAGATTTGCCCCAGTTCTTTCAGCAGCTCTCTGGCTCTCCTTGCTTCCAGAAAGAACCGAGCACGACGTTGCTTCCTCTTAAGGGGCAGCTGCCCAGTGATGGAGGGCCTCTTCTCCCCTCCCTTATGGAGGGCTTTTACTTTAACCTCCCCTTTAATGATAGCTGGGTCCATCCAGTTCGTTGGTCTGCCTGGTTGCTGGATAAATGAACTGAAAATATCTCCCGTAGCTTGTAGAAGGTTCCTGGGACCATGCAAGTGGAGGCTTTTCACTGCCAGTAAGTTGGGCTTGATATTCAGAGGAAGGGCTCTTCCTACACGGCACAGGAGAAGAAAAAGCAAGAGTCCCATCCTGCCCCATGCCCTAGCTTTCTTCTCTCTGTTCCGCTCACAGCAATGTCCCAGGAAGTCGAAGAGCAAGAGGGCACTTGAGGAGGACTACAAGAAGATTGTCTCTTATGGACCCATCCATCTCCTCGCCTCTCCCCTTTCTGGAGCACGGAATGCTGAGTCGGGGACAAAACTGCAGGACCTTTGGGGTACGTATGTCCCATCCTGGATAACTGTACAAAGCCAGTTGAGTACGAACTGTCCAATCACACTTGCCCCCGGTTACATATAGCCATTAAAGGAGGCTGCTAAGATCTCTCCCCTGCAATGTGGCAGCTCGGGGTCTTTCAGCCTGTCACATCTCAATGCTCCTATGTTGTGTTCTGCAGGACTAGAAGTCTCAAGATGTAGAATGTGTACAGAGAGCCTAGTCTGCCCCACCGAATCTGCCTCCTCCTAGGCCAGACGTCTACCATGGCACAGAGTCACTTGGAAGACCAGGGAATGGCTTGGAGGAGGGGAGCTGATGGCAGGAAGCCTGTGGAATCCAGAGAGGGAGTGATTAAGGGCTAGGTTTTTCAAGAGCTCGGTGCTCCGCATGCTGAGTGCTTTTGAAAATTGGTGGGTGCTGGGCTCTCCAGAGAATCTGACCCTAAATGTTAGGAGCAAGGGACTGATTAAGATCAGGGCTTCAGATTTTCGGTGTTAACTGACCAATGCTGATAAAACATCCAGATCCAAAAAACAATCTCGGTTTATCCAATAAAACGCTGGAAATGGTGATTTGTACCTAAAGAGCTTGTCTACACGGAGCAGTAATGCAGACTACAGGGATGTGACTTCTAAAGCACACTGTCTGTGCGTGAATTGGTCTGTGTAGACCCTGCTGATGCACACCAAAGTTCCTGAGGGTGCTGTAACATTTGAAGCCATCCTACATTAATGGGCACTGGTGAACATTACAAAGAGATGACTAGGAGTGTAATAAGGGGTGTGTGTGTGTGTGTGTGTGTGTGTGTGTGTATATACACACTCAAAATGCCTTGAAAACTCCCAATTTTGGGAGCCATCTACCTAAAACTCAAATTGCTAAAAATCAGCCCCAATTCAGAGACAGCCCTGAAGTACACAGGTCTTATGGGCTGAGTGTCTTTGCTGCAATGCAGTGTGTCCTACTCACTGGTGCAGAGAGCGGCAGCCATGGTGGGTCTTGCATGTCACAAGAAGTGACCCCCACCTTCCCAGGCCCACTGCAGCGGCAGGCTCTCTACTAAGGAACACCAGGAAGAACCAGTAATGTAACTGCTTTCTTTTTTAGGGCCACAGCTGTGGATTCCTGGTGCCCTGGTAACGCTGATCATAGCCGGCCTCTTCGTTCTCGTTGCTATAGCTAAAGCCATGAAGAAATGAGGGATGTCCAGAGAGCACAAATTCTAAATAAACCTGCCACTTGCAAAGAGAGGGCGTCTGTCTGCTTCTTTAAACAGACTTCTCTGGAAGAACAGGCTGCTTGTTTGGAGGAGGGAAGCTGGTTTAATGCTCTAAAGCTCAAATGGTTCAACCACTTGAGTCTCTTGGCTGCTTATGTTCTCTTGTGCCTATAGCGGCTGGCACGGAGCAGACTTTCCTGGCATATCCCACAACATCCGAGCCCCCATGCACGAGCGCTGTGCTGGACTTACAAAGCTTTGCCACTCTATGGAAACAAAGGTGGTGACAGGTGCTGAAGCCGTCAACTAGGAAACAGGATATTAGGGGAGACTTACAAAGGGCAGTGAGGTGCTCTAAGCCCATTACAGCCGATGAACTGGGTGCTTAACTCCCCTCTGTGCCTCTAACAATCCTTCCCCCTGCTCTTCCCTGACAGCGTTGGTCTTAAAGTGGACGGTGAGGGGGTATGCTGGTTAACCACTGACGGTCAGCTGCAAGTGTTGGTTCCCCAAGGCACTTGCTGAATGGAAACACTTACGGGAAGAATCATCTGGCTGTTGGGGTGGGAACCAAAACTTAGAACATGCTGACCTGTGTCTAAAGCCTCCAGCTGGTCAGTGCTTTAACATCCGCTTCCACTCCCAACCACTCTGGTGACCGTCTGTTCTTGCACATAGCCAGCTAGATACTGGAGTCAACAGGTTATCCATCTGACTGCACCGCAGGTGATTTTCAGCGCAGTGGGGCTCATGGATACGTAACGTACCCAAGAGACTTGGTCTCTTTTAAACACCAGCAGTGACGCAGGCCGTAAGCTTCACATCGTTGGAGGTGTTGCTATACGAGCCAAATCTCTACCTGTAGCAAGCTTTATAGTCGGCTTAATGAGTCACAGTGAACTCCAAAGTGTGGGTGAGTTTAGTGAGGGCTGCTGCCAGTCTGGGCACCGTGCACAAATCTGCCGAACTATACGTCTGCTGGTGCCTCTCTCAGGCTTCCTAGGGGGTGTGGCTATTTGGAGCAATGTAACGACTCATGTCTGCTTAAGGGAGAACAGACTTTTTGTAACTGGGTGCAGTGCCATAATTCTGCATGGGGACTGTAATTATTGCTCATTTGCATAGGCAAATTAGCACACGTGCAGAGCCTCCCCTACAGGAAGTGTGAGCGCTGGCCTGTGTATGACTAAACGCAAGGTATAAAACCTCTTGCAGTACTTTATCTAGAATTACTCCGTAACAGTGCTCACTGCCCCTAAGTACTTCAGGGAATGTTACTGCCCTTTAGCGGATAGTCTGTACAGAAGTGGTGAATGAGCGATCTTGCGCAAAGAGCCTGTTTGTAAAAGCAGCCAGTGTAGTGAAATCTGTTCCTGCTTCAAACCACGCCCCTTTTCCAGGAGCAGTGCAGATCTGGCAACTCCATACCCCAAAGAGAAAGATCTGCTGCCCCCAGCCTTCTGCTGGTGCTCAGTGTCGCACCCTGGAGATTCCCAATGGCGGCGGGAGGGAACAATCACATTATGCATAATGTAGTAATTCACTTGTTTATTCAAAAGTCCTCAGCTGTACATGTACAGTGCCCTGGATTAGAAATGTGGACAGGAGCTTTGATGGAGTGGGCTAGTGCCTAATGTAGTTCCCACTGATCAATGGAAGAGTTGCTTTTTCAACTCCAGGGGCATGAGAGAAATAAGTCAGCCTATCAAGCCTCTGCAGCGCTGAGATGTGTGCATGGTTCTACCTCTGTGTTTGTTGAAATCTGCTAAACGGGAATTGTTCCCAGGAGCCAACTGATTCCCCATTACTACGTAGCAAGAGGGATTCCTGCAAAAGGGGGGCTGGAATCCTCTTATCTGATAGTGCTGTAACTCGGTTAAACTCCCTCCATGAACCTGTAGTGACTCTGAGCTCAGCAGGACGGGGTGAAACTTGAAAGATTTTCTTGCTGGCTCGATTCCTAGCCCCTGGTTCTCTTCTGCCTTAACTAAAGGGGCAAAATTGGGGCTGCTACAGAGCTTGAATCCATCAAGCTTATGCCCGGAAGTTTCTGTTCAGATCTCATTCCCCTCTCTCTCAAGAGGGAGCTTCTTAGAGGTAAAGTTCAAGGGGAGTAAGGTGCTTAAATACCTTGCAGATCTTGGCCTAAGTGACATTCCTAAGACCACAAGAAAGCTATGATGATCTCCAGGGACATTAGCTGAAGCGCTCTAGCTGCAGTACGGGAGATGCCAGTGCTCTAGGCTCTGTCTTCAAGTAATCGAGGCCCCTTAATCACACAGAGAGGCTGGCCCCAGTGAAGAGTTTCTCTGATGGCAGATCAATTTCACAGTGGGGTAAACTGAGCCATAGTGAAGTAGCTGTGGGCAAATAACTTAACTTCTCTGTGCCATGGTTCACCCGTCTGTAAAGTAGGTATTATTCTGATCCTCACGCAGTGCATCAGGTTCAGAACAAGACACAGAATTCAGGCCACTTACTTCCACTTCCCTGCTCTGACTGCTAGACAAAACTCCTCCTCCCCCCCCCTCCCCATGGGAAAGAGCACAGAAAGAGGCTCACGTACTGCATGATTGTGCTTGCCAAGCAAGCCTGAGTGGAGCTCTCCACCTGGCTAGTCCCCTACCCATCCCTCTCCGCTCATTGAGGAAGCTACGTGGACTGGGCAAATTCCTCTGAACCAGCCCCCCCGCCTGGAAGAGAAGCTGGTGCTGCCGCTAGCTGCGGGAAGCGTTGGTGACTTTCACATTCTTGCCGCTGCCGGAGGAGGATGTGGCTGCATCTTTCTTTGGATAGTAGAGAACCATGAACCAGATGAAAATGAAGAAACCTGTGGGGAGAGAGAGAGGCCTCGGTCAGGGGTGGAAACGTTGGAATCTGGCCTGCTAGTGAACACTATGGCTAATGCCCAGGTACCCTTAGCAGAACTAGTTTGAACCTAGCCTCATTAGCTCTTAGTGCGCACAGGTGACAGCGGAGATTGGCTCATGCCACGTTCCAGGGGGAATTTCACCTGTCTCCTGCTGCCTCAACAAGCCCAAGGACTTCCGAGGTGACGTTGAAGGAAGCTCCTAAACTCACTTGCCCCAGCTGAGCCGCTGTTAATGTTCCGTCTCTCGCTAAAGGGGGAGAGTGCAGGTGGGGTGGTAGCCACCGGCGTGCCATCCCTCCCGCCCCCTTCGAGCTACATCCCTCGCTCCTGGGGCAGGCAGCTCTCTAGCTCTAGCGCTCCTCAGAACAGTGCGGTTAGGCGTGACCTCCCCAGAACTGCCTACCTCTTTAATAGGGAAGTGGGGCCTGCAGTGAGGTCCCAGCATGCACTGCTCTAGCTACAAGAGATCCAAATGGCTACAAGATGTAGCACTGTTCTTTGGGACCTACAGTTAGGGTGACCAGATGTCCTGATTTTATAGGGACAGTCCTGATTTTTTGGGTCTTTTTCTTATATAGGATCCTATTACCCCCCCACCCCCTGTCCTGATTTTTCACACTTGCTGTCTGGTCATCCTACCTATAGTGCTAGTGTAACCCCCACATCTCCTGGGTGTGGTGTTCTGTCCCATTTAGTGGCACTGAGACCACTTAAAGAGAGAGTTAAATGAGTTGGCTTTTAGCTCATGTGATAGGCTCATGCACTAAGCTGTAGAGGTCCCCTGGTTTGATCCTGCCTGCCGGCGCCCAGGGTCTGTTGGCGTTACACTAGGGGGGTCACATCTCTCTATTAAAGGGGAGGGCAGCTGGGATCTGGTCCACTCTGAGCCACAGCTGTGGCCCTCCAGCCTCGGGTGAGTTGCCCATGCAGCCGCTGGGCACCACTGGTATGCAGTGCCACCTGGCTCGGTGCTTTAGCTGGGAGCTGTGCCCTGACCTTGGAGAGAGTTCAGTACTGTGAAGAGGTAGGCTGCAGGCACGGACATGGTGCCGTAGGTGAAGAAGGCCAGCCCCCATGTGGCTCCCAGCAGGCAGGAGAGGCCGAGCACTGTGAAGCCCCTCTTCCAGGTCTCTATTTTCTCCTCCTTCCCCGCTGTGGTGCGCTGCAGGCTGAACAGCTTCCAGGCTACAACCACGAGGACCAGGGTGTTGAAGAGGAGGATCAGGCCGAAGTAGCTGCAGTTGGTGATGTAATGGACCACCACGTGAGTGGAGTTTATCCAGCACCTGCAAGGGACAACTCAGTGAGCCTGGACGGGGGGCAACTGGGGATGCTGTCAGGGCAGGGTGGGTGGCAGGCAATGGAATGGGGCAGCACACCAAGAAATTGCTCCTGTACGGATCGGCGCAGGTGGCTCTCCTAGCCTGGGGACCCCCCTTCATAGAGTCCCTCCTAGAAGGCAGGGCCAGGTGGTTTCAGAAGGGGGGGCAAGGATGGTGCGGGTGGAAGGTTGACAGGGTGGCCGAGCAGATCTCCTGCGGTCGGGAATGCCGCGGTGCTAACGCACCCCTGGTCTGTGGTGGTGGGCAGTGACGTTCTTCCCACTCTGTCACCTCGGGAATTCCCTCGAGCACGGCAGCAGGCAACGTGGCAATGGGTGTGTACTGGGATAGGGCAAGCAGCCCTTTTAAACAAAGGCTTCCTGGGGGGTGGAGCCCTAGGAGTGGCCAAGCTCTAGGAAAGACGACCTCCCCTCCCATCCCTAGGACAGGTGGTCCTACCAGGAGCAGGCTGGAGCACGGATGCTGAAAGTCAGATCCTGCTTTCCTTGTTTTCCCCAATTGCCCGCTGAGGTCCGTGGGAGCCTCGGCTGCCCACGGAAGGCACTACTGGGCCCTGGGTCTTCCCCTTTCACTTCTACAGCGGGGGGTGTCCCCATGTCACAGCTAGGGCACAGTCTGGGCGTAGAGCTATGTATGGGCAGTGCATGAGTCCTCGTTGGGGGGAGGCTGCGTGTGCCTGGACCGTAGCCCCCCGCCCCGAGGCCCACCTCTGCTCAGCCGCCTCCTCCTGAAGCCCCACCCATGCTCCACCCTGGCCTCGCTAAGCCCCTTCCTTAAAGTCCCTCTGCTCACTGGCTGTCCACTCACCACTT